TCTCCGGGTGCTGAGGGACTCACGCACCGGCTGCAAGACAACGAGCCATAGCAGGCGGTTAATACTCGTTTGGTAGTTTTCTCATCGATGTACCTATACTATACGCTAACTAACTCAATTTAACCCCCTTCCCCCCCTCTCTCAGGGTCGGTCCCCTTAATATTACCCTGTGTTGCTCCACAATGACTTTAAACAGTAGCTCTGCCTAGTATCCAGTCCATGCAAGTGTTGAAAAGAGTTGGTGCAAGAACACAGCCTTGCCTCACTCCTGAACTGACAGGAAAGAAGCTCGACAGGCCCCCCCACACTTTACATTACTTTCAGTACCAGTATATAGGTATGCTATTAGTTCAATAATCCTTGTTGGAATTCCTCTCAGTCTCAGGATCTCCCAGAGTGATTCCCGATGCACTGTATCAAACGCCTTCTTGAGGTCGATGTAGGCTGCAAGCAGCCCACGTCCGAACTCACGACGGCGCTCTACAATGACTCAAGCACAAGGATACGGTCTATTGTGGACTTACCAGGAGTGAATCCAGATTGCTCTGGCCTCTGATGCCTTAGTAGATGGTCTCTAATATGCCTCAGAAGGATGCGGGCAAGAACCTTGCCTGGTACACTGAGCAGAATGATGCCGCGGTGATTGCTGCAATTCCATCGGTCCCCCTTCCCCTTCCAGAGAGGGATGACCACACCCCTTAACAGGTCAGAGGGAATGGTACTGGACTGCCAAATGGCAGCCAAGACAGCATGCAATCCCTGCGCCATAGGTTCACCACCAGCCTTTCACAGTTCAGCTGGGGTACCGCAAATACCCGCTGCTTTACCACACTTCAGCTTGGAGATCGCCTCCCTAACCTCAGCTAGGGAGGGTGGGTCCTCGCTAATGGGTGGGTTCAGCAGCGGAATCACGGCACTACCCACATCCAAGTTAACTGTTGGAGGGTCAACCTGCCCAACACTCCCGCACCGCAACAGGATCTGAGACAATCTGACCACCTACTAAGAGAACTGCTTTCACCTGTGAAGAGGGCTTGGAGTTTAGTTTTCTCAGGGCTTGGTATGCAGGACGAAGGTCATTTACTAAGAAATGGCCTTCGACCTGCTCAGCAAGATTCCTAATAAACTATTCCTTATCCCTTCTTAACAGAGACCGAGTTCTGCGCACCTGAGAACGGTGCAAATCCCGATCCCCTGCCAGATGAGCTGCACAGCAAGCATCAGTGGCTTCCAGTGTCTCCTGAGAAATTGAATTCTGTCTTGCTCTCGGGCGTTCTCCAATCGATTCTTGGGCTACATCAAGTGTTTTGCGCTTGAAGGTGTCCCACAAAAGTACAGGGTCCGTCAGATTGTCAAGCGCTGTGAACCGATCAGAGATTGTCTCAGCAAACCTCCGAGCTCACTCCCTCTCCTTCAGCCTGTCCAGATGAAACACCCTAGGGTGAGCATTGGGCCACTGGGGAGTTTTGAAGTGTACCCAGAGGGTAGCCACAACCAATCTATGGTCAGTACCACAGAACTCAGCACTCCTATACACCCTGCAGTTCTGGAGGATCCTCCAATGAGTGCTAACAGGAATGTGGTCCATCTCCTTGGCTGCATTACCCGCATCACTGTACCATGTCCAACGATGTGGGTCTGGGCACTGGTACCAGGAGCCAGAAATCCTCAATTTCTGGGATCTAGCAAAATCCCGGAAAAGGAGGGAATTCTCTCTCCCAGTATCAACTCCCGAACCATGAGGACTGACTGACATCTCATAGCCAGCTTGATCGCTGCCAGATACCGCATTGAAGTCACCCAGAACAATACCTTGCCGGAGACAACTGTCTGCCATAGATGCAAGTTTGGCGTAGAACATCTCTTTCACATCAAGTTTACAAACATCAGTAGGAGCGTACACAGCAATAAGAGACATGAAGCCACCTACACTGATCGTGCTGCTGCCAGGTCTTCTCACCTCCGAGAGAGCAGCCACCCCTACTCTCAGCCTCCCCAGTTCCCTCGATAGCAGGGGCAACCAATCATCCTGACACAAAGAGCGGATGTTCCAAGCCCCCACCCTGACTTCCTGAGGTTAACCCTCAGGCAGTCGCTCCAGGTGGACGCCACCTTTGCCACCCCCAGGCTGCGGGACTCTTCATCCACCTGTGGGGTTCCCTAAGGTTTTGCCCCACAAGCTTCATATTGGGCTGGCGGCTGCCAAAACGCAGGCAGGGAGCTCCCGTTCCCATTCTGCGCCCCAGCAGCCACCCTTCCAACGGGGCCCGCAGCCCGCCTCTCTTGCTGGGTAGGAGGGACATTACCCCTCCCCCCAGCATTTCTGTTTAAATGAGATGCTGCCTGGGGGGAGGAGGACTGGCAAGGCCTACCTCCCTCGAGCCTCCCATTGACCCCAGGGGGCTTAGGGGCAGGAGTTAGTACAGGGCCAGGGCATGTCTACATGCTGGTGGGCCATGAGCCTGTACCTCTGGGGCCTCCTGCTGCTCCAAGATCCCCTACAGTTCAGTCTGTGTGCCAGTTTCCATAGGTGGCCACGAGGAGGCACTGCAGAAGTCTCAATGATGGAGAGGCTATGAACTGGCAGGGGAGACTTATGCAGCGCTGCTCCCTTTTTCGCACAAGGCTAGCCAGCGGTGGCAGCTGCAAGCGAGAAGGCATGCAAGCACTTAACACTATCTAGGCTACCACACCATTGCTTCACACCACCCTGCGCATGAAGCACCCATATAATATAGTGTACTACATTCTATTCCTACAGTAGTAATATAGTATTTACCATTTCAAATTCCTTCTCTGTATTGCTCTTTCTACACTTACTTTTACCTTTTACAATAACTTTGATAATACCAATATAATTTTGGTACCACATCTCTGGTGTAGAATTTTTATAGTCTGGAAGTGGTCCTGTTCAAAGTATGCCAGATATCTGTAATTTATATATAACTGATACAGAATTAATCTATGCGTACCAAATAAAAGAATGAATAGATATCGTTAGAGAAATATTACCTTACAGAAATGTATATGCAAAAAATACACATAAATAAACACATACATAAGTATATACATATGTAAATATACACATACATACATAAATTCATAATCATAAGTAACAAGTAGAAAGCATCCCCATTTACTCAACAGATTCCTATGAAAACTATGAAATCGGTGGACAAAAAAATGCCTCTATGTTTGATCCTCCTTCAATAAAACAACTGGTGAGTAAATTCCATGAGTAAACTGTACCTCCATCCAGCCATCCCTCTTTCCCTGAGCCGCTGACAATTCCTGTTCTGTGGCTTGCTTAACCGACGAGGTGAGAGAAGCTGTGGGAGTAGATTTTTCAACCCATGCCCCTTCATCTTCACTGCTACTGCTCTGTAGAGAGAAAATGTGTTTTTGTCGACTAGATGATATATAGAACATGCGTTTATATTTGTAAAGATCAGCAAAAATAAATAAAAATGTGTCTTACAAGTTTTCTAAATCCTTCATGATTTCTACCAAATTCCTGACTTACTGAGGATGACGTGTCATGTTTCTTGCTCTTCTTCGATTTCTTCTGTTTCTTTTTCTTCTTCTTTTTTTCCTTTTTCTTCTTTTTCTTCTTGGAACTATCAAGGTTCGCCTCCACAGATGAGAGCATCCATGTGTGTTCCCCTCTCTGGCGGGCTACCTCTTCCCTCACTTTCCTGACCTCATACTCATTCTTGGCCTTGAATTGAAGAGTTAAGGGATTAGTCTCATGCAAGCAAAATCTAATACAGTTTAATTTGGACTCACCGTACAAGTGATGGAAAATATGTAATAAAATGGGGAATAGGTCAATTGGCAAAACCATTGTCACAATCTTTCTAGCAAAGTTTCTTAATACAATTTAACTTCAAAATAACTTGCTATATCAAACCTAATATATGGGTAATTGAGTTAACATCAAATTCTTAAAACAGAGTATTACATCATTATTTTTGGAAGAAATGACAAGAAAATGAAACAAACAGTAATCTAATTTCTATACACCTATTCTGATACCCTACAAGCACATAAAGATGAAGAATATTCAAGAGAAGATAGGAAATTATGATGTGATGTTTTGGAGGTAAATATCTCCACCTGCTTTATAGAGCATTCCTAATCATACCTTTATATACTTTTAACCTTAACTGAGATAACCATTAAGGAGATATTTGCAATGGCCATCAAAGTGAGGTTTTACCTTATTATACTAGCTACATTCTGTCCACATCCACTCAAAACTGGATATGATCTGTAATGGAAGGCCTACAATTTGAATTCTAATTAAATCTTCAGCAATCACCATGGCCTCCACACATTTGGTTCTCCAGCAAACTAAAATAAACCTCCACCTAGGAAATTCTGAGCAAGTTCTCATTTGATGACAGATGTCTGGAAAAAACTGGCTTTTACCAGCATACAAGATGATAGAGAATTGTTGCCCTTTGCTCAAGTCCCACAGGTACGTAGGCCAATGGGAGATATTTGGCTGTGACATCTAGGCAAGAGGCAGATGGGTAAATGGCCAGTAATAATTTACGGAATAAGTTATTTACAGCGACATGCTTAGGTAGAGTGGGAAAAATAGAAGGGGATAGAATACAGTTTAAGATGCGCAGGCCTTATAGTCACCACTAAATGACAAAAATATAACGCGTGCTTGCTTTTCAAATTCAAAGTCCATGAGCTTGTTTACCTTGCAAAGAAAAACACAACACTGACCCACAAACATGTTTTTGCATTCTCGAACTAGTCCGTGTATTATAACGCGCTTGTCAAAATGATATTTGGCTAATTATCTATGTCTGTTGGTATACATTTATGCCTTTATAGTCTTTATTAATGTTATTATACTTCATTTGCAAATTCTAATATTTATCTATACCCTCATATAGAATCCTGCATAGCCAGTGTTTCACACTTTCTTGACAGCTCACCAACCACTCATTTTGAGTGAGAAGAATGTGAGAAATGTTGCTTTTCCAGTGCTGTGTTGATTCTGGGTTCTTTTTAAGACTTTTACAGTGGCATCGAAGAATAATTAGACTTTAGTAACCATCCCAGTTTTATATCTGAGCCCATCAAGAGCTCCAAATGACAAAAAAGGTGATTAAAATTGAAGCAATCCCAAGGTACAAAGAAACACCCAAAGTTTCAAGTTTCCGGATATAAAAGGTATTTGGATTATTATTTTATAGTGTGAATGCAGCTCTGTCTTGCCGTACATACCGTGGTAGAGAGAATGTGTCCTGGGGGATGTTGGGAGGCTTGCCCCCCAACATCCCTCCCCTCAGGCAGTGCCCAAACGGTATGCTTAGTCACGGCAATACATACTGATATATTAGGTTGGTTTATTGGTCAGTACGTTTTTTGGGTGGGTTGGGTTCACATAGAGTTTTTGATTTCTGGCACATCAGCCTGTAGAATTTCAAAGATAGCAGTTACATCCGTAGAGTTTCATTGGCCAATTTTAAGCATTTTTTGTGATAGTTTTACGCATTTTGAGCATTATTCTTCTTATTTAAGCTTGTTTTACCCCATAATTTCCCTGATATACTTCTTGCCCTCCCCTGCTGAAGGGACTATCAAATTAAGATCGTCGATGGAGAAATGGTACTCAATCTCCTGAACGATTCATTCACAGAAGAAACAATCCCGAAAATCAATGAAATCATAGGATTTCATGCAGACATTTTTCTTTTTTCGACTTAGTCTCTAGGGAGGTGCGTCACTCTATGTAACAATTACCTAATTTACATTTACTGAAAGAAAACAGATTAGGAATCACACAAAAACTTGTAATGGTACCGGTATATGAATACGTAAGTCCATATTCTGATATTTATTTCTAATTTGGTAATTTTCTATATTACGTCTGCCGCTCACCCAGGGGCAATGATGTTGAAGTGGCGTACGTAATATATAAAAATACCCTAATAATATAAACCCACAGTGAAAACAATCATGGTTATTCACATGACAGGGGAGCAGTGGCCCCCCTGGAGGTGGCTGCCGCCCCCCAAAACCTTGCCGAGGAAACAAAATCTCCACCATGTATTCACAGCAGGATAGAGCGCACACGAACTAGATGCGGAGCCGATAACCTACAATAACCTAGGATTTTTAAGGTACTAACCTCATTGATAGATGCCGCTAATAGTAGGGAGGGTGCTCCTTTGCCACAGAAGGTGAAGGAGGCAGGTTGTAATGTGGACAGTGAGAGGAATCTAACGATACCAAAATCATCGATATCGGAGCGGCGGAGGTAATATAGAAAATTACCCACATCTCTACCATTTCTTCCTAGCTGGTTGCTATTTCGTGCAGGAAATCCATCTCCAAGTACTGAACGCGAAGGTTATTTCGATTAGGAATTCGAATGTCGTTGTTCCAGAGGACGGGAAACTCGACCTTGAGGCCATCAGTGTAACATCGAAAGAGGCGCAAAACCCACCGTCAAGGGCGGACCACCCTGTTCATCCTGATTATACTACAATCGTGTTTATATACAATGCTGACTATGCCAAGGTTAATATGCTGATTCAGTGGGAATGTTGTGAGGTAATTATAACATTACGCCCGCTGCTCCGACATAGACGATGATTGTGTAACACTCTAGCCTGCCGTGAGTACGTGGTGGAGGTTTTGTTTCCTCGGCGGGGGTTGGGGGCGGCAGCCCCCCCAGGGAGGGAATCCAAAGAGACCAAAATCGTCGATATCAGGGAGGCGGACGTAATATAGAAAATTACCTCTAATTTATTTGTTTGTAGAAATAATCAGCCAAAATAACACTGATAATGCTTTACAAACAAAATACTCTTGTAAAATAAAACTTCTGGTAAAACAAATACGAAAATGTAACTTCCAATAAAATCTTCAGTTGATGTCGCAGTTAGAGTGGACTCACCTTCTCAAGAATATAATTTCTAGCTTCTCTTTCCAGTTGTCTTTTCTTTTCCTTTTGCCTGGAGCTCTCAAAGTCAATTATGGGATGAGACATTGTGAATGAAGAATTGTAAGAGTAAATACGATTTGTGAAAGACGTTCGCGTTTTGTTTACGTAGCATTTGCTAAATTAACTTGATTTTAATCTTGTATTATATCTGTGTGAATGAGTTAATGTAGCCTAAAATGATTCTTAAAATACATGAATTTTCTTTTGGAATACAAACATTGTATATTCTACTTTTCTCTCTTAATTTCTCAAATGATACATTTCATGTACAGGGAAGCATGTAAACACATCTACTTCAGTTTGCATTATTATGATTCACTACTATTCAAAAAGTCAAAAATATATTCGTGCTTTAAGTCAAGACATATTTCACATTTTTTTCCTAATTATGGAGTGACATTATCAGATCCCGCATAATAAGGTGTAATTTGCATTCAGTACGAGGTGCCGAATGAACGATAACCGCGAATTGTTATTATCAAATACCTACAAATATTTAATACTTTCACCAATGGTAGAATGTATATTCTATTTTTCTTGACTGCATGATTCACTAATGAAGATGAATATCAATCGAGCTCGCCCAATAGATAAGATATGATAAAGCAGGAAGTCAAATACGCACATCCACCTGACGTGACGCAGAAATATGCCGGCAAAATTTTCTTCATTAATCTAATCAATAATTTATTGTGAATTAATGCTGGCACATGCATACGAGGCAATAGTTATGTCGTTTTTACAGTACCACGAAGATCTGTGTGGGATGTAAGTTATCTATAAAGTTTATGCGTGATTGTGGCACGCGTTTTACGGGTCAGAAAGTTACTGCGTTTTAGTTTTCTTTTTATTAAGTAGCTGCGGCAAGTATGAATTTTCTCCCCGATTGATAATGTTGAGATAGAAAAGATATAAAGGGAGAAGAGAAGGGATATAAATAGATAGATGGAGAGAGAGAGAGAGAGAGAGAGAGAGAGAGAGAGAGAGAGAGAGAGAGAGAGAGAGAGAGAGAGAGAGAGAGAGAGAGAGAGAGAGAGAGAGAGAGAGAGAGAGAGAGAGAGAGAGAGAGAGATGAATAGAAGAGGAAAACATAGTAACTAAAAAAAGTAAATATCACATACCCAAATATATCCTAAAAACACAAACACCGCCACCACACCCTTAAAACCCCAAAGATGAAAAACCTAAAAGAGAAAGTCATCTCGTACGACACTTCTCTCCGTCCCCGCACGACACTCGGCCTCAGTGGAAGCCGAATTTCGCAGCCATTTCGCGCGCTTTTCCGGGAGGCGTGGGATGTAGATCTCGTGTTTTGAGTGTTGTGAAAGTTCGCCCAATTATTCCCCTTATTACGAGGAGAATATGAACTTTGGAAGCTCTTAGAGAACGCGGAGGTAAGCCGGAGAGGAATTCCGAGCGGAGTTTCTGGATAGAAAGTTCTCTTGTTTTAGAGGTATTCAATTTTTTTTCCTCGTTTACCTTTTTCCGCCTTCCCCAAATTTTTTTTCTTCTAGACTTTTCAAGATTTTTCTCTCCGAGGCTCATCTTACCTCGCCGGGATGATGATGCCGATAGTCTCGAAGTTCTCACCAATCCCCCAGACCACCAGGAGTTGGAATTTTTAGTGAAATAGGGTCTTGAGAGTGAAAATAAGGCGAATGTTTACGTGTGTGTGAGAGTACATTGGAGAAAGCGTGGCGGGCTGAGGTCAGACCTACGGGTTTTAACAATGCACTCGAGGCGGGCTGAAGGGAAGGAATTTCATTCTTTTGGGGGATTGTACAGGTTCGCTTCGTTTATTTAGTAGGTTAATTTTTTTTATTTGTGTGTGTGTGCTTGTGACGTTGCGTATTTTATATTTTCGGGATTAAGGTAATGGGGCTGGCAAAAGAAGGGTTTTTTCTACTTTTCTGTGCATGGGGAGCATCTTCGTTTATTTTGAGTTTAAGGAGGTTATTTTTTGGTATTTTTCTGTGTGTGTGAGAAGGTTGTGTTTCTTTGGTTTCAGGTGATGGGGTTGTGAAGGAAGGGCTTTTTCCATTCATATCCAGGTGGAGGGGGGGGGCCTCTCTTCGTTTGTTTGAGTTTGAGGAGGTTTTTTGTGCGTGTGAGGTCATTGAGATGATGGGGTTGTGAAGGGAGGGCCTTTTGTAATAAGGTGTAGGTACTTTGTTTGGTCAAGGTTTGGTTGAAATAAAGTGTGGAATCTAGCAAAGTTTGAGGAGGTTTAGTTTATTATTCTTTCCCATTTTTTGGTTAGGTTCTGTTTGAACAAGCACAGGTTAAAATGTCCTAAGAAAGTTAAATTGAAGATTTTATGACAGATTTAAAGCCCAGTTAACTGAAATGTACCATATACCAGTGCAGCATTTCATCGTTCTGCACAGCTTGTAACATTTATTGCAACTCACTAGGCTTAGTCTGGTTATGTAGTAATTCTAATGTTAGCTGTGGGCATGTTTGACATACCATACTGTTTGACTTCATGATAAACTTGACAACATTAAAGAAAATTCCTGGGTAATTGGTTATGAAATGACTGCGCCTCTGAGAAGACCTTGTTATTCAAGCTAGTAACAACATTAGGGTCAGTCCTGGCAATCCACAACCATTGCAGTATGAATCAGTTCTTGTTTTCAGGCTCCAACACTTTTGCCTCAAATGATTATTTTTCATTTATGACTAAAGTACATGTAAAATACATTACTTAGATTCATTATTTGCTTTATAAGAGATGGAAATATGAAATTCAAGTGTTACCCAAAAATCATCCTAACCTGGTTGGACCCCCACTCAGTCACTTTGTTTCTCTAAGTGGGTGCTTCTTCCATACAAACCTCACTTGATTGCCATAAATTCAGTCTTCATGCAGCATTTGTCACAACTCATTTTCTTAATATACAATGTTATTCTTTGCCAGGGAGCTATACTGATATATATCAGTGGAGGTAGTTTTCCTCTCTCTCAAAGACAATGTCCTTAGATTTTCCCAGTCTTAATTTCAGTCATATGTATAAATCCCAACCATTTGAAAATTAACAGTTTGCCTTTGTATTAGATTCATTTTGGTTCATTGCATTGGTCAGCAGGTCAGGCTCCAGCATTCTTGTGAAGTGCCATGTTGGGATCAGTCTCATTGTGCAATATACAACCAGTTGCTTGGAATTGTAATAAGTTGAAGTCAACAATAAGAGTTACTTAGCTCCAGGTATTTAGTACTCCTAAAGAAATTTAAAAAAAACTTGCAGTATTCCATAGATTCTTTTTCTTATGGAAGGACAAATCTTACCCTACCCACTGCATCTTGAGTCTAATGCTAATTCCCACAGGTGAAGAAAAAGGATGACTTTTAGTTGATTACAGCATACTCTGTTTATGAGTGTTTTTTTGTTTTAATGTGGGTATGTGGCTTGCATTTATGTATGTGTCTGCATATATCTATTTATAGCTCTGATTATTCATATATAGGAAGTTGGTTATACATAGATCAAATGATATTTTATTTGTGTCCACTTGAAAATGGATAAGTAATTTACTTTAAGCTATTGTATTCTATTTCTTTTTAGACATTCTGACATTCTAGCTGTAGGCCTATTTGTAGGACTTTCTCACTCTTCTCTTTTTATTCCCATTTTTGAGTTTACTTAATAGAAATTCATTTTTCATTATTTCATTTACTGTATTGATTGATTTATTTAAATTTTACTTCATTAAAGCATATGTAGACATGAGTATACTGTATGAATAAGAAAGTGTACAGTATAAATGATAGTGACAAAGTCAGGAATGAGTTGGATAATGGGAAGATTAAGGATTTAGTTAGTATTTTTTCCTTCTTTTTCTATGTTCAATTTTACAAATGTAGAAATTATTTACAGCTGTGGTTGAAAGATGGAATTTACTCCAAAGAAACCACCAGCTACATTTAATTCAAGTAAGTAGGCTTTTTATTTCATATTTCATATTTCATATTTTATTTCATATTGATCATTTGTTTCTTTGTGTTTTTTTTAAGTGTTCTTAAAAGTTTATTTGTTTTATATTTCATGGAAAATAAGGAGTGCAAATTTTATATTGATTGGTAGGTACAGATATATCATGAGAGAGAGTGAGAGAGGAAAAGATAAAGAAAAGGAATTAGGAGATAGGAAAGAGAATTATAAGATATGAGTAAAGATTAGAGGAAAATCATAAAATGAATATATCAAACTTTGTGGAGTTTTTATAATTTCATTAGATATATTACATTTATGAGAAAAAAATTACATCTTTATTTAATTAATGTTTTTCACAATGTTATTCAAGGCACAGTCCGTCGGAATCCATATTCGACTGGCAGTCGGAATTACCTCAAGAAATACCAGCATCGAGGAGGGAAGGCAGGGACCCCACACTCGTCCTATGGAACTCCTCCCAGAACGGTTTTGCAGAAACGGTTTTCATCTCGCTCAGAGAAGATGGTAACCAGTGCATTGAAGGCCTTGCCACAGCCTGAGGAAGGTAATACCCTCGGAAAATGGTTGGGCAAAAAGGATTCGTCTCCTCAGGCCTTAAAGCGTCCCTTTAGTGCTATTAATGGGACTGAGAATACTAAAGACCCTTACAACATCTTCTCGGACAATGAAGAGGATGTTTTTATTCCCACACGGAAAGAGAGTAAATCCAGTCCTACTTCGGACAAAGAGAATTCGCTCTTTGGCCCACCAAAAGCAGGGAGTGTGAAGGTGTATGGTAATAAGAAAAAGCCCTTGAACCTCTGCAGATCCAGGCTTGTAAGTGATATCTCACCTGAAAAAATTGAGAAAGCTTATGGGCCAAAGTCTTATTTTTCTGCAGAGAAAGAAAATGTCCCAACAGAACTGTGTAGTGAGCAACCAGTGTCATCAGTTACACCACCACATCTGATAGGGTAAGAAAAATCAATTATTGATGTCTACTTTTTAAATTTTTTTGCAGTATATAGTTGATAAAAGTTTTCCAAGGAAAAAATGTATATGTATATAACTTTTGCTTTTGATTATTTCAGATTCCCAAACTATGGCAACACATGTTACCTAAATTCAGTCATCCAGTCATTATTTGGTCTTTCTTCATTCCTACTGGATTACCGGATAGTGGCTTCACACCTGGATATGGCCCACACATCTCTCTTCTATGGTCTGAGTCAAGTGCTGTCAAATAGAATGAAGGGCCAAGTATCTGGTGTGAAACAGTCTCTCAAGTAAGTGAATTAACTTTTTATAATGTTGCTCACTCCTTTCTAGTGCTCTCTGCTTTCTTTCATGCTTTCTGACAATGAAATAGCTCCTTGCTAGATTATGATGTAATACTACAAGATCAGTGAAATTGCTAAATGCTTACTTGAATTTCTATTCCTGCAGAACTGTGAAGGAGAATTTAGAACGTGTTGATGGTTCCTTCTCTGGTTTCAAAATGCAGGATGCAAATGAATTCCTCACACGGGTCCTGGACACCATCAAAGATGAGATAGACCGCTGCCACATGACCACACCAAGTCCAGACCGCCCTTCTGGCTCACAGTCTCTTGCATGCACCCCAAATGGAGAGCTGGATGAGGAAG